ATCTGAAAGAACTGATCAAATGTGCTGATCACCTATTTTTATTTACGAGTGTAAAAGCAAAAAGCAGTAAAGCGTAGTGCTTTTGGTGCAGCCAGAGATCAGGTCCAGATCAGTAACTCTGAGTTTAACATGCAGGCTGTAAATGAAAAAATTCTCATGCCCCATCTCCTGCATCAGCTTCAGGTAGAACATAGACAGAAAAACGCTCTGTTCAGAAAAGCCTGACAGATCTACGGCGACGGTGGCACAGGAGTTAAGTGCTCGCCTCGCAATCGGAAGGTCGCAGGTTCGAGACCCGCTCAGTCTGTCGCTGTCGTTGTGTCCTTGGGCAAGACACTTAACCCACGTTGCCTGCTGGTGGTGGTCGGAGGGACCGGTGGCGCCAGTGCTCGGCAGCCTCGCCTCTGTCAGTGCGCCCCAGGGCAGCTGTGGCTACACTGTAGCTCATCCCCACCAGTGTGTGAATGTGTGTGTGAATGGGTGAATGACTGATTGTGTTGTAAAGCGCCTTGGGGGGTTCCAGGACTCTAGAAGGCGCTATATCAAATACAGGCCATTTACCATTTACCATCTACGTCACTTAGCATTCATAGACTCATCCATCTTTGCTCATGACGGGGAAGGCTGTTGTTGGCTTAGCGTTTAATCTAGTAAAAGCTAACTGTTAGCATTAGCAACTCCACAACACAACAGCACTGCTTCAGACTTGTTATTTGTGGAGATAAAACATCAATGTTGCAAATTAAACAGAGTCAGTGGTAAAGTTGTGTTTCTGTTAGCCAATCTGAGGCCAGATGTCTGGATATCAGGAAAGAAGACCAGAAATCCTGTCGTCTGCTGTCCCTTCCTCCTCTGGCCGACTTCTGTCTCATCAAACTGGCACACCTGAGCTTATTTTCTCAATTCAATTCAATTCAAAGCTTTATTTATAAAGCGCCTTCTGCGACCCTATCAGGGAGCCCAAGGCGTTGTACACCAGGGGTGCCCAATCCTGGTCCTGGAGGGCCGGTATCCAGCAGGTTTTGTGTTTTTTCTGCTCCAACAGACTTGATTCAGTGGTTGAAACACCTGTGCAGCAGCTCTTCAGGCTCTGCAGAAGCCTGGTAATTAGCTGCTGATTGAAATCAGATGTGTTGAAACAGAGTTCAAACTAAAACATGCAGGATACCGATCCTCCAAGACCAGGATGTACACAGTACATAAGAAATGTAAACCACAATGAATAAATAGATAATAAAAGCATTTAAAATAGTGCAAAGAGGGTAAAACATTCACGTAGAAACAAATGGATAAAACAAGGGATTAAGTGACCAATAAAAACAGGGAATAAACTCAACATAAAAGAGGGCTGACCTCAAACACGTACAGGGAACGCCAAGCGGAAGAACTGGGTTTTCAGGCTACTCTTAAAAACCGGCGGAGATGGGGACAGCCTAACTGAGGGTGGCAACTGGTTCCAGAGTGATGAAGGAAAATCCATAAGTTTAAAGCAAGAACGATAACACACCCGAAGCCAGTGCAAGGAGGCCAGAACCAGACTGATGTGTTACCACTTCCTGGTCTCAGTCAGAAACCTGGCTGCGCTGTTCTGCACAACCTGTAGACGACGCAGTGATGACTGACACAGCCCTGCATATAGAGAGTACCTGCTCCAGGTGGGCTCTCGACAGCGTAGGCTTGATTTTTGAAAGGCGACTCAGATGAAAGAAACTGGACCAGATCACCGAGTTGATGTGAGCATCAAATTTAAGTCCAGAGTCAGTTTTCATCCTCAAACTAGCGACAACTGATTTCTTTTGTCCCAGAGAACGACTTACAAGGCATTCATTAAAACAGTGAGTTAAGTTGACCTTTAAGCAACAGTTAGCTCAGATCTGTACACCAGATAATCTCAGTACCATTACACATCAGCTGTTTCAATGCTGCATATTAAACTGTTGCTGACTCTGTCCTGCACTGCTTCATCTTCAGGCTGCTTTGCTGCCCACTTCGTTTCCAACTCCTTGTTTCCAGACTGTCTGACTTAATGAATGTCATGTTTGTGACCGATGCTGCTCTGTTCTGTAGTCTGGGTTCTTTTGCTGCTGCTTTCTCTGCCTTCAGGCATTTTACTTTATACAACAAAGGGGAGGGAGGGGCTGGAAGAAAGCTATACCGCCAAATATGAAACGCTATAAATTGTTCACCTTATTATTATAACTTTGATAGAAATGGCCCTGACTGAATCCGCTTTGTCTGAACTGCACTGTCCAGTGAGCCCGTCTGAATTTCATGTTTGAGTGGAGGCAGACTGCAGTAGGCAGTTTAATCTCCGTAACTGGTTTTAAACTAGCACAAGGTATTTTATCCTCCCTATTACAGCGAACAACGGAATGAGCTAAAGGGGATCTTACGATGCTTTGGTTATTTATCAACAGGACTGACCATATAACAGGTGTTGTCACTGAAGGAGAGAGGAGTGTCTAGAGACAGGAGGTAGTTCTCTGACCAGAGCAATGCTCATTATTAACCTGATTGGTGAACAATTAGTGGTCGATATTCCGTATTTAAAATATAATATCCATCATCGACCCATCCATTTTCGTCCAGTAATCCAAGGTAGCAGTGGAGGAGCAGCAGATCTACTCCAAGCCCCTCCTGGATGACTGAGCTTCGCTCCCTACCTCTTAAGGGAGTGCTCAGACTGCTTGTATCTGTGATCTCTTTCTTTTGGTCACTTCCAGAATCTTGTAACCATAGATGAGGGTTGAAATATGAATCAACCAATCGAGAGTTAATATTTTCACGATAGACCGGTGCAATGCCCACATCACTGCAGACGCAATACCAATTCGCCTATCGATCTCCTGCTCCATCTTTCCTTCTTTCCATCTAACCCTAACCCAAATTCAGAATTCTGAGAAAAAATGATGGACTTCTGAGATTAAATTCAAAACAGTTATGTTGTATAGACTTTGGCGATATCATGGTAATATCGTATACAGCCGGTGTTTGAAAACAGCAACGGTATCTGTGGCAATGCCATCATGAAAAAATACAATCTACTTAGTAGATATGGATTAGATGTAAAAAAAAAAAAGTAATTTAATGTGTAAAATTGATGTGTGGTTGAATTTTCCTTTTTACTTAAATGTTTTGGACGACTTTCGGAGAAGGTCCATAAAGTTTATAAACATGACGCCATCATGTGACGGCGCATAGAGATGGGAGAAAGATGGTCGATTGCAACTAACTTGGTTTAAAAAAAGAACACAACTTCTGCAGACTCGAAGTGTTTGTGGTTCCAAGCTGGTAAACACAAGGCTATGTGTAAATTGTGCAATAAAAAGGTGACGGCAAGGCCCCGTTGTTAGCCCAGAGGAGCGCGCCGGAGCTGAATTTAGCCCCGCAGGCAAAGTAGTCGATAACATGCAATGATGAGCTGGAAAAGTAAATCTGCTGGTTAAAATTACTTAATTTTATTTTGTTGTATGACAAAAGTTTGCGGTTTTAAAGATGTCTAACTCGTACCTTAAACCTGCAAACGTTTGTCTTGCAAAAGAAGAAAACTGAGTAATTTTAATTTACAACAAAGACAAAATGAACTTTTTTTAATCTAAACATGCTGGTCTTTCTGGCTAAATTTTTTTATAAGCCATCTTTTAAATAATAGTTTTTAATATGTGTGTTTTTGTTCCAGTGTTGGTGTTTCGGTATTTATTTTCTGAACGGTGAAAGTCCAAGCCAACAGTTTGGTAATGCCACTTGAGGATTACATCATAATTTTTATTTAGTCAGGGTAATAACGTACATCGTGGTAAAATGTGGAGGAAGTTTGACGATATAAAAATTTGGATACCGCCCAAACTTAATGTTGTATTTGTATTTGTAGTCAATCATTTCTCTGTTTGCATCGTATTTACACAGTAAAATTTTTATTGCAAAAAAGTTGTAAATCAATTGAAATATTTTTTCATTTCTTGCTTTTGTGTGTTTTTAGAAAATGAACAGCCTTAACTTCCTTATTTTTGTTCTTCTTTTCTCTTGTTGTAAATGTGATTGATGCTGTCACACCTAACTTTCTCCACTGCTGGACGATAAAGGGATATTGCATTCTATAAATAGTGTTTATCAGCATGAGAAACCAACAGTGGTTTTAAATACCAGAAATTAGGCACCAGTCTGTAACTGATGTGGCTAGCCATAAGAATTACTGCAGACGTAACTGAACTGTAGTCCAAGCAGAGGTATTACTAACTGGGAGAGGGAAGAAATACAGGGAAGTACAGAATTCACTCCAACCCTCAGGCTGTGAATCATCTTAATGTAATGTTTGCCAGCAGGTGGAAATGACTCAAATTTGTTCCCACAGTGAAATAGACAGCACACACTGATACTGCTTCTGTACTCAGGCGAGTGCATGGTCAGATCCCTTTGGTTTCCATACAGGCTACACATAAAATAATGTCACAATAAGCCTTTTTGTGTGCATACAACAGTGTGAGATTGCCGCCAGATAAACTGTTTTTCAATGAACTGTTGTTAATGACTCATAGGCTCTAAAAAAGTTTGTAACATGAAATGCACACTGTTAAATTTTTGCAGCCTCACGGAGGAGTTAGTGAGTCATACGTAAATGAAGTCATAGGACCATAAAGGAGATCAGATATCGGCACCAGCATGTTGAGCTGAATCTCGGCCACATACGAGAAGCTCTGCTATCTAGCGAAGCACAATGGAGGAAAACATAATGTATGCAAATTAGGGAAACAGACAAAGAAGCTATTCTTCTCTCTGCAGACTGTATCAGATTCTTAACTATCCTCTCATCCCATCCACTGCACTCAGACTACATTGTATCAAAACATATTTCTACTGCCTCATTGAAGATTTTCAAACTAAACAGAAGTTTTGTGGATTATTTTAGTTTATACACTATTCTATTAAGTAAGGAAATGGTATACAGGTCTGGTTTTTGTTTGTGTTTTAAAGGTGTAATTTTATCATGTTGTATTTTGCAGATTCATGGATCTCTGCGAAGGAAGATTGTAGGAAATGCAGCAGGACACGCACTAAAACAGAATGAACTTCCCCGTGGTTTCCCTGGATTGGACATTAAACGCGTCCGTGTGGACACTGGCAGTGTGAACCACAGTTTGGACCATTTGGGCCGTTCTTTGCAAAGCTCCTCAGACATCAATATCTCGAGGATGCCTCCTGGACTGGGGTCAGACATATTCAATGTGACTTTGAAAGAAATGAAAAAGGAGCCCATCGAGAGCCAGTCTTGTGGCCAAACAAACTCGGAGATGAATTTTGACTTCAAAGAAGAAGGCGGTGGTCAGATTGATCCAGAGCTGCAGGATCTGTTCGATGAACTGACCAAGTCTGTGCCCTCGCTCAATGATTTTGAGCTTGAGAAGATGCTGAAGCAGGATGATACTTTTGGTTTAGACTTGGGTCGGCCAAGTTCAGCAGGGGCTGCTGCCAATTTATGCTCACCAGTGGAGAAGATAATAAAGACGGAGCACTCGCAAGACTTTGGGTATACTCATGACTGCTCGTCGCAGCTTCGGCCGGCCTCTGCAGGTCCCTCTTTCACACTGACCAGCACTTCTTCTACCAACACATCACAGAAAGCTAATACCCAGGCAGGGCACACCAGAACCATGCCGTGCTGGCCTGAAATATCCCACGCACAGCAGCTAAAGCAGATGGCAGCTAACCAGCAGCAGCCAACTTCTCTTCTTCATCACCACCAACAAAACCCACATGGGGGAATGACCAGCTGGCCTCCAGCCATGAACACCCACTCAACCACCAGCACCTTCCCCAAAGCCAAGATCTCCAGCCCACCCCCTCTTAACCAGCATCGGGTCGGGTCCCATAACAAAGGTCTCAGCAACTGTCTCTTTAAGTCCAACGACCACAATGGGTCCCATCAGCTGGACTTGAAGTCTCTCAGCACCAAGCCAACATTGCACTTCAGCCCCAAAGCCGCCCATCCTTCCAGCCAGCCTATCTCAATCATGACAGGCTCAGCGAGCAAGACAGAGCAGCAGCAAGCGTCTCAACCACCGGGCCAGAATCAGCAACATTCCACTCTCCACTTCCAGAACCAACAGATCTCGTCGTCGGCAGGTCTTTGTCTGCAGCCTAAGTCTGTTTCTGCAGGGCTGCCATTTAGACTTTCCCAGCAGCCTCCGGTAAGAACTCTGTCCACGCTTTATTCACGTTTCATGACAAAACGTTAAAACTTAAACAAAAATTGTGACTTGGGTGTTGATTGTCCTCATGTGACACCTAATAGACCTTCCATCTTTCAAGGCAAATAATCTGCAGTTGTATAGCAAAAAGATTTCGATTTTATTAGGTTAATTCAAATATATAGCGTTGTGGTTTTACCAGAAGCAACACGGTTAAAGCTGGGGTCCGTAGTGTGACAGGAGGAGGACATTATGAATTTTATTCATAATTTTTTATCTGTCCTGTCCTGGCAGTAGTAGCAAACAGAATGGTTGATCCGGGTGCAATAATATGCCAGAGCAGTTTTCCTCTACAGCAAGAAGGATGTGGGATGTTCCTCCTGTTGCGCCATAGCCTTTTGAAATGTTTGTGGCATGTTAGACCACATTCACTTATGTATCTGAGTGGACAGGCAAGAAGAAAAGAGACAAACAACACAAACGGGGAAAGAGAGGGAGATTTTGATATTTGAACAGCTATAGCTTCCCCTTTCCTTCCCGAAGGAGCTAAAAGCCACGCCTCATACCACGCACGCAAATAGCCATGAAGCACTAATGGACAAGTAATGTTTTCGATGTGTTCCTGCACGTACACACCTGGTTCTAACTGCTGAATTATTTCCTCAGCCTATATCCAGTTCTGCTGGAGCTGCTTTTAAATCAGGTGTGCTGTGTTCAAGCAGGGAAATGTCAAAAACCGGCAGGGATCAGGCACTCTCAATGCTAGCACACCCCTGCTAATGCTACAACAGTGTTAGCTTGATGTTTACGGATTGACAACAATTCAATGCAGGTTGCGGTAGCATTCAGGCTAGGTTGGTGTGCTAAGCTGATACCCTGTAAAATGGCCTGTATTTGTATAGCGCCTTCTGAGGGTTCCTCCGACCACCACCAGCAGGCAAGTCCGGTTGTGTCTTGCCCAAGGACACAACAGCAGCATTCTCTGGCGGGAGCTAGGATCGAACCTACAACCTTCCGATTACAGGACAACCAGCTCGACCTCCTGAGCTACTGCCGCTGTAGTGCATGCTGGGAACTGGGGGGAATTCTCGTTGGGTTGGATAGTCAAATGTAAGCATTTGAGTCGCTTTTAAATCTTTTAAACTACAGTAGCCGGTTTTAATGAGCCAGGACTAAGTTAATAGTAATAACCACAATCTGTAGTATCTCAGTGAGATAGCCAGCATTAGTAAAGTAAAAATACAATAGTACGCCTTCTGTTTGACGTTTATATTTTATAACTATGTAGACACAAAGGAAGTAAACATTCCTTTTTCTGCTTAAGACGTAGTAAGACGGCACACGGCTAAAGCCACTTTAATCTTCCCCCCTCTGGTTTCCTCAGTTTTCTTCTAGCTGCCACCCTGCTGTTTCAAAGAGACATAATGTAATTCTGTTTGTTTGTGGGGTGATTTTTTTGTTCCTTCTAATGTCTGTGCCATTGCACTTGTGAGTCCATTCAAAATGTATTTACCCTGAAAGTGTTTTTGATGATGACACAGATTGCCAGAGCATGGTAAATTAACATGCAGGACTTCTAATTTCTTTGCTTGTCATGGAGGCTCCCTGTCAGGGCACAGATATGCACAGCGGGATTTGCTAATTGGAGGTTGTTAGCTACAAGGGACAAGTGGTGGAAAATGACAGTAATCTGCTTAGCCTGGTGCCGGAGGTTGAATCACTGATTTGTTATGATTGGGGAGATTTAGACTGTCCTCTCTTTCAATTTTTTTTTTTTTTTTTTTGCTCCAACACTATCTGTAGTTGTCTTTGTGTGAAATGATAATGTGAGCCACACAAGAGAGCTCTCATAAACTCTGCAGATCAAGGCGAGCGCTGGAGCGACTGGGGGAGGGGGAGAAGAGGGGGTTACACAAACATTGAAGTAAACAAGTTGGAATGACAAACACATCCTTCCTGATTGATACGTCTAGAACAGCTCACTAGACAAGTGGATATTAAATTTTAACTGTGCAGTTAAAATGTGTGGTTTTTACTTTTTAGAGTAAAGTTGGTCTCTTGGAATGTGGGATTATGTCCAGATTTTATGTTTTATACCTGGCTGGAGAAACCTATTGAACAGATGGAAATTAAAATGGCTTTAAAATTTCAGATGTTTGGAGCCAGGAATGAAACAACTGCAAGTTAGAAGCAAGATCAGGCACTTGTTATCCCAACATTCTGCAGGATTCTTGTCATGCAGCTCTTGCAAGCCCTTTTACCAGCATGTCAGAGCAGCCAGAGGCTAAATATTGAGTTTGACCTGGTTTTTAAAAGCAGCAGCCTGTGCAAAAGCTCTAACAACGAGAAATCCAGAGAAGCTCTATTTCATTGCATTTATATATTGCCTACAACCGCAACCACAATGTTTTCTGTTTGAACTCACATGCGTTGCCGAGCTAATTAGGAGGATGTCAACATTTTAGGATGACCAGGTGTCCCGCATTTTGGATTGTCCTGATGCTCCTGCATATTCCCCCCTTTTCTCCTTATTCCACAAATTAGGTTATTATCCTTCATTTTGAATAATAGTCAGTGCTGCCTGATAGAAGATGATTAATACTTTGTTTATATCCAATTACTGTGAAGAGAGCAGCGGAAGCTCTGATCCTAGAGAGGCTGTGATCGATGTCAATCAAACTGAGCCCAGTTGGGTTGAAGCATGGGTAAATCTGTCAGTTATTGTCTCTTTAGCCAAATTCAGAAAAAAAAACATTCAGTCACAAATAAACTTGGAACATTTTAAAAGAAGAGTAGAAATGTACCTTCTTTAATACACTGTAAAATCTGGTAATTTACGGTCCATATTGACTATTTACACCCACGTTAGCTGATCACGTGTAGCCACCACATTGGAGAGCAAGAAGGAGCCTAGTCATGCCCATCTACTTGCGGATCTCAGCTTCCCGGAAAAAAAAATGAATGCAAGTCAATGGGGCTAAAAACGCCATTTTCTAATCCCATTTGTTATGTGCCATGGATTTCACATATGGTGTCCGGGAATTTTAAAGACCCATTCTGATGCCAAGAAAGCGCTAATTTTCGAATGGGGACAAACATTATTTTAGGTTTTTGTGTAAGAATATGTCCAGGACTAGAGATGCACATCACCAAATTGACGTAATTGAACCAGAGATGGGGGGGGGGAAAAAAGCAGAGGAAAAATGGCTGTAGCTAACTAACCCCAAAATTCCACTATCTCCGCTCCGCCCCCGCTTTCCGCTGCCGCTCGCTACCGAGCTCAAATTATACTGTACCTGCTCTACAACGGCTCCACTCCGGTGCGGAGACCTGAGGTGCGCAAACAGGCATGCGCAGGATTTTCGAGATCTTGCGATACAGTCCGAGCAATAAACGCGGAAGTTAGATCCAAACACCCCTTGTGTGGGAGAAGCATCAAAATGAACTGTTTAATCTGCCCATCATTTGTGTTGAGAGATCAGCAGTGGTTGGATCAACAAAGGGTGACTACTTTGATAGTAGAAACTGTATTTTTGGCTTATTTTGTGCATTTAAAGTTCAGCCGCCATTGATAGTTGTTAAAAGTTGTTAAACCTGTGCATATGAAACAAAAAACGCTTTTTGTTTATCGATTTATTGTGAAATAACGGAAGTTGTGCTTGCTCCCTTTCCTGTTGGGCAGTTGTGATTTCATTCAGCAAAAATATAATCGATCCTATTTTTGCCGGATGGCGGAACGGCGGGCGGCCCACTGCGCCGCACGGCCGCAGTAGTGGAGCAGCTCTGATTGATTACAACGGGACCGTTTTTGCTGCGGAATTCGTGCCGGAGCGGAGATGGTGGAATTTTGGGGTTAAAATCCTTCGTCCAGGAGGAAAGAATCACCAGAAATCTCGCCACGTGGTAAGTAGCAACTACGCTAGGGGAGAGGAGATTTGCGACGTACCGACATCTGATTTGTAGTCATGCTAATTATGAACATTTACAAGTTCATAAATCTCAAAGTATGTGACTGGTGTGGTTGAAACACACATCATTACAGTACAACATCCTGCGATCCCGGGCGTAAGGCAAAGAGGATTAGAAAAGAGCTCTTTTAGCCCATTTGACTTGCATTCATTTTTTTCGTTCTTCCAGGGACCCATGAGCTGATCAGAAACGGAGAGTAAACAGTGAGCGAAACGAATATTGAAGAAAAGGGAAAGTAGTGCCTGAGATTGTTTTTTGCAATGTTTAGCTCGGCTTTGGTTAGTTCAACCCCAGTTCAGTTATCGGAAGAAGTAACGCACCTAGGTGGGGCAAGAGTGACTAACGGTAGTATTGAGTGGAGAGAAAAAGTGGTGACAGAGGTAATTATTATTATTATTTTTAATGGTTTCTACCGGTTCAAGCCCCGTTCATGTGTGGGAAGATTTAGCACAAGTTGGGGCTCATAGAGAGTGATGTTTAGAAAGGTTAAGTTCTAGCTAGCTTACAAACGTTAGCTTCCGTGCTCCCTGCTGTTCATCGACGTAAACAAGTTTCTGACTTTTCCAGGAATCACCCTGCTGGATTTATAACATTAGGTGTTAAACAGTGTTTCACTTTTCACTGGAGCTGATTAAAAAAAATTAAAGAGTCTGGATCCCTACCATTTTTTGTCTGACGTGGTCACCTGGTTCAGATGCTACTCTCAAACCGGGATGGGACAAGATGTCTCATAACAGCCACGCTCATCTTACTAAAAGAATCATGTATTTTTAACACACGTGATCCACTATAACAATATTATTATAATAAATAATTTTCACTTTTCACTACTGCGAACGTTACAGTACATCATCCATGGTGAAATATCTATCCATTCATTCGAATTATCAATAAGTAAAATAAACACACCACATTTATCATTTCAGAGCCATCACAGTCAGTCCCCATCTTCCTCGTGAAATATATGAACTTTAAACTTACCTGTTAAAAAAGTGTTTGCTGCAAATCTGAAAATACTTTGAGGGCTGCTA